CCAGAGAGTAGAGACTGGGCTCTAAAAACAACCTGGAGTCAAGTTGAGGACCAGGAGGCAGCTTAGGGGGAAACTCAGTAACTGAGCTATTTCTTCCAGCAAATGAATGTGGGCACAGATCCTAGAAGAGGTTTTTTACTAACACAGAATCGAGATACTCAGAATCCCTTCCTACTGCCTCCTACTAAGGACTTCTCAGGCTTCCTTACCCCTTAACACCTGCCCTTTGAGCTTAGTAGCAAAAAAATACTTCTTACTCAGTTGTGGAAGTCCGGGGCTAACAACATGAAGTCACACACAAAATGTAACAGATTTAACTAACACCCTGAAATAGAAATTCAGAGCAAGCAGATTAGTAGAAGGAAAGGCAGTTAGTGAGGTGAGAGACGAGGTTGAAGTGCCATTCCCAATAGGGTTGACTTGATGGACCACGTCAGGGTGACAAATGAAAGGAGACGGAAAAGCCACGTCCTGAGCCACAGGTGTCAGGGAAAGGGAAAAGCAAAGCAAACTGAGGACAAGCATTTTAGTGGCACATATGCTGGGCCTCTTAGTCACTCTAATGAGAGGAGCATATTTTTTAAAAGATGGGGAAAGGCCTGGAAGAACAGAGACAGCGAGAGACTATGATGTTTCAGCAGCAAGTGCCAATTCTGAACACTTGAAAGGTGTACTGGTCTACGTTCCAAGCCTTCTATTCCTGGGAAGTCTTAGAAATTGCTGATGAACTTTTGGTTGCTAGTAGAGGGCCTTCCTATGGAAAAAAATACATTAGACTTTTATCACCCAGGTCCCAGGATGGGAAACAACATACTGGGAAGAAAAGTACTTCTGTGAGATTTTTGTTTTTTTTGTTTTTTTAAGCTAAGTGTGATGGTAAGTTTTCATTGTCAATTTGACACAACTTCAAATCACCTGGGATGAAAATATAGGGCTGTCTAGTTCAGGCTTGCCCATGGCATGTCTGTGGAGGACTGTCTTGCTTGCTTTAATTAAAGCGCCATCCACTGTGAGTGGCACCATTCTCTGGATGTGAGTCCTGAACTTGAAAGTGAGCAAAGAGTAGTATGTGTGCATGCATGTATTTCTCTCAGTTCCTGATAAGGAGCACGATGTGACAAGCTGTCCAAGGGTATCCTCCTGCCTTAGTGGACATTCACTTGAGTTAAAACAAACCCTACCTACCCAACGTTGCTTTCTGTCAGGCATTAGCAACCGAAACGATGTGACTAGAACACTATTCTTTGTCATCTCTGCTATAGTTCCTATCTGAAATGCTCCCTAAGGGCCTATGTATTAAAGGCTGAGAACACAAACTAGTGTTTTGAGAGGTGGTGGAGGGTATATGAGCTGACACCTAGGGAAAGAAAGTTAGGTCCTTGGTTGGGGGCATTGCATCCCTGTCCCCTTCCTACCGCTCTCTTTCCTTCCTGGCCACCATGAGGTAAGCTGGGTCTTCTGCAACATGCCCCTGCCATGAGACCATGCTCTGCCACAGTTCCACAGCATCAGGAGTAAGTAACTATGGTCAAACTATGAGTCAGTATAAGCTTCATCTTTTAAAAAGAGTTGTTTACCTCAGATGTTTATCATCACGACAGAAAGCTAGCTATCACAATTCATAAGTACAATACAAGTTCTTAATCTGTAGTCCTCTACATTTCAAGTTATCACATACAATACAGGCTAGTTCTGTAAGTTAATGACTCTTTAAGATTTTTCTGGGGTTGCTTACTTAGTGTTTCTGTCATTAACTACGCAGACCTGAGTTAGATCCCCAGAACACATACCTTAAAAAGCCAGCTGTGGTGGTGTGTGCTCATATAACCCTGGTGCTGGGGGAGACAGAGAGGCAGATTGCTGGGCCTTGGTGGGCAGTTAGCCTAGCCTGATGTGCCAACTGCAGACCAGTGACAGGCCCTGTCTCAAAAGGCAAGGTGGTAGCCAGGCATGGTGGCAAACACCTTTAAACCCAGGGCTTGGGACAGAAGCATGAGGGTTCTTGTAGCACGACACCTACCTGATCTATAAAGTGAGTTCTAGGTCAGCCTGGCTTCGTAGTAAAACCCTACTTTAAAAAAAAAAAAAAAAAAAGGCAAGGTGGACAGTTCCTGAAGAATGACACTCATGTGACACTCATGTTGACATCTGACCTCTATATCCACGTGTGTATATACACCCCACAGAAACACACACACACACACACACACACACACATACACACACACACATACACACACAAGTAAATGCTCAAGGGCACATGCACATTTTTTTTAAATTCCAATTCTTAAACTGTCCTACTGAGGTCAATGGTTTAGAGTGTTACCTCAACATCAAAATGATCTTTGATAAGAAGTTAATAATTCAACAGAACTGGGCACAGGGGTCTTTTCTGAAACTGATACTTCAACCAAGGACCATGCATGGAGATAAACTAGAACCCCTGCTCAGATGTAGCCCATGGCAGCTCAGTCTCCAAGTGGGTTCTCCCTAGAAAGGGGAACAGGGGCTGTCTTTGACATGAACTCAGTAGCTGGCTCTTTGATCACCTCCCCCTGAGGTGAGAGCATACTTACTAGGCCACAGAGGAGGACAATGCAGCCAGTCCTGATGAGACCTGATCAGCTAGCGTCAGATGGAAGGGGAGTAGGATCTCCCCTATAGTGGACTTGGAGAGGGGCATGGGAGGAGATGATGGAGGGTCGGTGGGATTGAGAAGGAATGAGGGAGGGTGCTACAGCTGGGATACAAAGTGAATAAACTGCAATTATATAAAAAATAAAAATTTAATTAAAAAAAGAAGTTAATAATTTTTCCACGTCAAAACCACAAGCATTAAAAGAATGCAACCAGTGATATAGTAGAGAGACAAGCAAAATAAATCCCAAACTGAGACAACCCCAAACTTTACAAGATGCATTAAGAGTGAATTACCACAAGTCAACACGTATCAGAAGGAACACACTAGAAACATTCCAGAATGGATTTGTATTACATTTAAAATTCAGTCAAGAGCTGGAGAGATGGCTCAGAGTTAACCTACTGGCTACTCTCTCAAAGGTCCTGAATTCAATTCCCAGCACTCACATGGTGGCTCACAACTACCTATAATGAGATCTGGTGCCCTCTTCTGGCGTGCAGGCATGCATGCAGGTAGAATACTATACACATAATAAATAAATAAATAAATAAATAAATAAATAGATAGATAGATAGATAGATAGATAAATAAATAGATAAATAAATGAAAATTCAGTCAATGGCTTACAGCACAAAACATATTCTATGCCCAACATAGTCCCACGTGTACCAGGTTATGTCTTTTTTCTTTTGTCTTAATGGTAGAACACACACACATATACACACACACAGCAAATCCTCTGGACTCTGTCTCCCATAAAGTCTGGATCTATTACATAAAAGGGGGAAATACTTGGGGGAAAGAAAGGTGTTCTACTACACTAGAAAGCTAGGAAGGTGGTTAGGATGTTTCCCATGTTCCCTTCCCAGACAATCCACCCCTTAGCAGTGCTGCCTTCAGGAATGGCCTATGGCCGTGAGAGCCCAGTCTGAAGAGCCGGGCAAGAAAGGGCTGACATGTTCATCATCGCACCTGTTCTTCATCGCAGACCCACAACAAACTGACATAAAGTATTTAATCTAATCCCCATAAGAACCTGGAATATTGCAGGGAGGGAGCATGTATCTCAGAGAAACTGTTCCCCTGCCCAGACTGGTAAACAGCAGGCCATCTTGGACTTCACTTTCTGGCTACAGAGGAATGGGTCAAGAGTGGAGCTTATATATATATATAAGCTTATATATATATAATTATATATATATATATAATTTTTATTTTTTAATATTAGTTACAGTTTGTTAACTTTGTATCCCTGTTGTATCCTGCTCCCTCTCTCCCTCCCAATCCCACCCTCCCACTCTCATCTCCTCCCTGCCCCTTTCCAAGTCCACTGATAGAGGAGAACCTCCTCCCCTTGGGATGGACATTGGATGTAGGAGCAAACAAGTAACAGGACAGGCGCCTACCACAGAGGGCCTCTGAAAGACTCTACCTAGCAGTGTATCAAAGCAGATACTAAGACTCAGAACCAAACCTTCAGCAGAGAGCAAGGAATAAAAAAAAGGGGGGGGTGGGTAGTTAACATGACCTGGAGAGAACAGGAGTTCCACAAGGATCAAATATATCTGAGCACAGAGATCTTTTATGAGTGGAGCCCTTCTAAGAGCTGACCAGCAGCCTAATGGTGAAGACCAGAGAGTTGAGTTGACCAATCAGGACCTCCTTAGGGACTCTCAGATGGGACGACTGAGACAATTCTGTGAGCTACAGGCCACAGAGTTGGTACCACCATGTTCCCAGCAAAGCCACACACAGGGATAAAAACCTGAGGGCAAAAGCCCGGGTCCCACAACCGAGTGCTCTTTTATTAAGCCATCAGTTTCTATGGACAGTGGAGCACCTGTTCTTTGCTTAGAGCTCCATCTAAAATGCCCACAAGACATCTGCAGTGCAGCAGCCCCGTGCAGAGCCTGGCTGCTGGGAGCACCTGGCCACAGAGCACAGTAGCCTCAGATTAACAAGCAACCGTGCCCGCGAATAGGAGGCCAGCAGGCGGGTGTTTGCTTTCTCTAGGTGCTCAGACATCAAGCGAACCATGTCCTAAACTACCAGTTCATAAGACATATAAAGGACAGAGAAAGAGGTTAAATGACATCCTAGGGTAGATGTGTACACACACACACACACACACACACACAGACACGGACACAAAAACAAACACCAGACATGGACACACATGAAACTGAAGCATTTACTAGTCAAATCTAAGACACATCTATAAGCAGCTGGTCTGATCTTTTAAACACATTTTAAAAGATTATGGGAGGGAGGGCGCCTAGGGACTATCTGAGAACAAAATATACTTAAGAAACTCCGTAACAAAATCATACTCCTTGGTTACATTAAAAACTAAGGGACAGTGCTCACTTCAGCAGCACCTATACTGAAACTGGGATGACACAGAGAAGATTAGTGTGGCCTCTGCCCAAGGGTGACATGCAAATTCGTGACGTGTTCCATATTAAAAACAAAACTAAGAAAGAACTCTAATGGGATGCGCTGGCCATCCTGAGAGAGCCATGGGGAACCTCCCGGGAGAGGCACCTGTGAATGATAACTTTGCTGGATTTGACAATAACGTGCAGGCACCCTTATTCTAGGCATCTATATATCTGCAACTGTGTTATTTTGAAGTGTCAGCAAAACGAAGCCAAGACCGTGTCCACAATTAAAGCTAGTAAGTAAAGCAAACATTAGCAGCTGTTGATTCTGGACAGCGAATACTCGCTGTATTTGTCTTCCAGTTTTCCCACATGTTTGTCATAGGGAAAACGCTGGCAACACAACACACACTGTGAAAATGGCAGTTGTGCTAAGCCCCCAGGAAGGAACCAAGTGAATCCTTTCTCTCAGTAAGCTACACTCAACACTCCCTCCTCTGCTGCTACGAGCAAGGATGGCAGGTATGTGTACCTTCAGCGTAGGCCCCAGACAGAGCTGCAGCACGGTTTTAGGGTACACACTGTACACAGGGGTCCATGGCATGGCCTAGAGTCCCCAAGATCATCAGAGGGAAGAACAGCTACATACATGTCACTAAACACCTGTGCTGAGTCAGTTTTCTCCTATCCCCTCTTAGTAAGGTTCAGATAAACCTGCATAAATTAAAATGCATAGCTGAATCATCGTTCTTCTCCTAACTCAGAGCTATGCTCTTAAACAAACCCTCCTCTGTCCATTAAAAAAAAAAAAAAAAAACTCTCAGCCCTGTTCCCGCCCCCCCTTTTTCCTTACTGGGCGTCACATCCAGTCAAGCCTGGGAACACAGAGCACGCTGCACATTAGCCGTATTCTGTCTCACAGAATGTCCCCGCCGTGCTGAATGTGTGTTAACCAAGCATCAGGGACTAATGGTACGTGTTGCTGCTCCAGCGTCAAAGCCAGATGGTTCTAACCAGAGCCACCTGCCAGGAGGCAGAGACAATCACACACAAAAATTGCTGGCCCAGGACTTGGACAGCTCCAGAGCTGGATGGCAAGAGAGCCTGCCTGGTGAATGTCAGTGAGACCAAAATTCAAGAAAGGGAGGAAGGTCATTACCAATCTTACATAGGCTCATCCATTTAAAATGCCCCCGGGCAATCATACTGTAGTAAGATTTGGTTTCAGAGTGGACACATTTTACTCACAGAAGGCTACTTACAGATACTCAGTAATATGGAAATGGCTAGTGAGTAAAATTTGTGTGCTAAACATAAACAAAAGGAGCAAAAGATACTTAATATGCATGAGGCACCAATCCCTCAAGTACAATATGTACACATGAAGTCTACACAAGATGTACAAGGCAGTGGGCATCTAGAGGTACACAATACAAATGAGCACTTTAATCCACAGGAGGCCTTTTGTGGCTGCCCACTAGTGCTGGTCCATTCTGGCTCCATGTGTCTTCTGTCCATGAAAGAAGTGAAACAAAAATCAGACAGCCATTTTTTTTTTTTTTTCAGCCAACTGGCAAAAAGCAGCTACTTACCAAACAGATCTGTCCCATAAGGACCTGATGCTCACATTTGTCCAGTCTGAAGTCCTCAGTCTGGCATTCTGACCCCACATGGCTTCATCACTTCGGCCTCTGTTATAGTGGCCAAGGATTGTCTACCAAATTCATGGTCTGTAATATCCAGGGGCAGCTGACAGCAAAATGCCCAACCATGAATGAGCACTGTGACCTCCCTAGGCTCTCAGGGTGAGGACGTGGATAAGATGTGGGCATGAGTCTCTGGGTAAGTGACCAACAGACCCTTTCTATATACCCAGATTTTACCAGTCCTGAGAGGCCTTGTACAACATCAATTAATCGCGTCCTATGAGGCAGGGTCTTCTAGCCCCAAACTTTGTTAAGTACTTCCTCTTGCTTATAAAAGACTCTGATTATGGAATATCTTTTTTAATCGCCATGCTTCTTCCTTTTGCTAATTATAGGTGGGATATACCTCTTTTCTAAAATAAAAAAAAATTAGACACGACAAAAAGTATGCAGCTACCATGAGAGTTCTGGAAGCTCTCACCCATCTCAGACTGTCCACCAAGAGTGACAGCTTTCCCGACTTTTCCTACGTATCTGTTCATACATCATCCTTCTTCAAAAATGGACGGTTTCTATTCGCTTTTCATCGTGAGCAGACTGAGTTTAGTTAGTGTGAACTATACACTGACCCTGTGTACTTTACCTCACCTGCGCTTGAATGCAACACACTGCTGAGGCCATAGGCCCTGAGGCCCTGAGGCCCTGAGGCCCTGAGGCCAAACGACCTGTTTAAGGGCTGGACCCAGGGCCAGGATGGGCAGAATGGCTCAGTGGCCACCAAGCCTGAGGATCTCTCTCAGACCCACATGGTGCAAGGAAAGAACCAACTTGCACAAAGTTGTCCTCTGGCAGCCGTGTGTGTTCTTTGGCCCACATGCGCCCCTCCTGTGTCACACACACAACAAACAGAGAAAAGAAAATGTAACCTGAGCTACCCTCCATCTCAACACTGTGGAACTCTGAGGCAGTTCTGGTTTTTATTCTTCCCACAGAAACACTGGGGATAGGAACAGGTTTGACGAAACAGGCTGCGAGAGCATGGTGCTTTTGCACAGTAAGCCATAAATGAATGTGCCACACTACTCTTGCTATTATTATTATTATTATTATTTTACCACTTTTGTCATTTTAAAATAGCAGTGAAAATGAACGATTTGACTCCATATTTCCTCTTTGGGCCTGCTTCTCCTAAGCCCGTCACAGTTTTTCTACCAGGTTTTCAAATCTGCATTATGCCTTTGCCAAAGTCCTTTGTGTATCTGGAGGGTGGGCATGAGATGATAAACAGTGTAAGTCTTTCCTGCTTGCAAGTAACTTTGTATGGAAAAGATTCTCCACGAAAGTGCTACCCAAGGCATGGAGGCGCTGGAGTGGCGTGAAGTAGGTCCAGGCACTACCTTACAATGTGTGGCCTTAGCATAGTTACTTTCCTCTATTAATTTGTGGAGAGGCGAGTATCTAAAAGTGGCCAGCATGCCTTTCTCTAGGGCACAGGCCTCCTACGAGCCTCTCCCCAGCATGCAGGCTGAACCTCAACATAGGCTGTCAACTCCGGAGTCGCTAACCTGCTAGCTGTGGCCTTTCAGATCACTAGGAGGGGCACTGTCTGGGTGGCTTCATCTAATCTGGTGGCAGCATGAAGATATTTCACGGAAAGGAGGCTCTCCAGCATTGAAGGTAGGAAGTGTAGGGAGTGTGGGCTACAGGAACTCAAATCAGCGACGGCATGGGCGCCAAGGCCTGGCAACCCCAAAGAACTGAAATGAGTGGAGGTTAAGCCTGGAGAAATGGCAGCCCAGTCTGATATCTTGATTTCTATGCTGTGAAGCCCAGAGCAGAGAACCTGCTGTACAGAACGGAGCCATGAGTGGGTGGTAAGTCTCCAAAATTATACTAGTTTGCTGCTCTATGACAGAAGTCAACATACCTCATTTCCCCACCTATGAGGAGAAGATGAGACTCAAAGCACTCCCATTCTTGAAATCATTTTTGAGGGGGGAGGGGGAATGGTCAGATGTAGAAAACACCCTACCAAGCCTGGGGGTGGACAGAGGGCTGTTATCTGGGACAGGTGGAGCCATTGCTGTGATTGCCATGACAACAATGTTATAATACAGAATGAGAAAACAGCCTCAGCTCAGTAAATATAGGAAGAAGAAAACTTTAAAAACAAAATCTGAGGAAATACAAGCATATTAAAGGGGATTCTGAGTGATGAAAGGTTTCACATAGAATATTCTCTTATTTCTAGCACTTTAAAAAGACTACACTTGAACAATGAAGTATTCATTGCGCTTGTTTCATTTGTGTTTTACTTTGTTAGTTTTTGTCTGTTATGGGTCCTCACGCTGGTCTCAAATGCCTAATGACCTTCCTGCCTCAGCCTCCCGAGGCCGGGAGCTGGGGTTTTGTGCCATCTCCCCTGGCTTTTCATGTGGGTGTGAGGATCCGAACAGGTTTCTGTACTTGCAGGACAGGCCCTTCACCAACTGGGCCAGCTCCTCAACCCCTTCCTCATCTTTAATATCAAAATATCAGTCAGCTCTCAAAACTCATGGGTCCTAAATCCACAGATTTGACCACAGATCAGAAATACCTGAGGGCTGGTGAGGTGGTTCAGTGGTTAAGAGCACTGGCTGCTCTTCTGGAGACCTGGGTTCGAGTCCCAGGCGCCCACGTGGAGGCTCACCGCCATCCATAACTTCAGTTCCTGCTCTTCTGGCCTCTCTAGGCACTATACACGCATGCTACCTAGATAAACACTGGGGCACACACATATATGAAAAATAAAACAGGAGCCGTGGACTGCCCATGTACAGTCTGCTTTTCTTGTCATTATCCCCTGAATGGTTGTATAGTGAATATTGCCACAGTATTTATAATGCTTTAGGTAGCACAGAGATCCACATACACTTTGACATGTATGAGAGGCTATGCAGCTCTAAGACACATGAGCATCCGACGACTTTGATATTTGGGAGGTCTTGGACCCACACCCCACTGTGGAGTGCACACTGCAGAAATGCCCTGGTCTGACCTGGAGCCGTTCTTCAGTAAACACAAGTGAGGCTGCAAGCAGAGGCTGTGGCTGGTGAGGGAGGCCTGCTGCCTCCTTTTGAAGCTTAGAAATGGTCATGTCATAGTCGGTGGTGACCTGGCCTGGTAAGGTGTGAGTAGTAAGGGCTCTTGCTCACTGAGTTGTGAATTCCAGAGAGTCTCCGATGGAAGACTAGACAGTTCCCTTCCAGACACTAGGAGAAGGGTGAGTAAGGCCATGGGGTGAAGACACAGGACTCACTATCAGAAGAGAAGTTCCAGCCCTGAATTCTCCACTTGCAGTGGCCCTTAGAGTGATCACAACTATTTCCTGTCTGTCCAGTAACTTTCTCTTTGGGAAACATCGTTAGACCCTTCCTCTGAGCCACTGGCCCTGCCTCAC